TTGACGATATGGGTACTTTCGTGATAATATGAACAGCGTCTGTCTTTCTCTGTCTCTACTCTCAACACTATAATAACAGTACAAAATGTTTGTATTCTTTCTCTTATGATAGAAATTTCTGTGTTTTATCAAAATAAAAACAAAAAAATATTTGTTCTTTCTTATTATTTTTTTCTGTTTCTTGAAATATTTCTTCTTTTGTTTGTTTATACTATTTTTTGTCTTTCTCTATATATCCATCTAAGTTCTTTTTTCTTTGCGTTGAAAAAGAGTATTGTTTTCATCAGGACGATATTTTTGTATTGTCCCAGAGTAAAAACTAGTGAGTCATTTAACATCTCTCAAAGAAGAGCAAACATGAACGCATTTTCGAACATCCCGTCTTTTTTCATTAGTCTCCATGTTTTCATTGTTACGATCCCTCGGTCATTTTTATTCCAAACTCCCATCAAATTTCAGGCTTTTATCTCTAAAAATCAGCTATCACTGCTCGTTACGATCTTCTGGACAACTTTCATTAAGAACATCTTGTCTTTTTAATTTTTAACTGATTTTTGTCATTCAGAACTCCGCTACACTTAATTCCGAACGCCCTATTTTTTTTCTTATGTCCGCAGATCGTAATGAAAAGGTGGTGCGAAATGTTCCTTTTCCTTGTAAAAACACGTATGTTGAATGCATATTCTCTCATAAGCTTTTACAGAAATCTTTACTATCAAACTAGGGTGTGAGTGGAAGTGATGTGGGTGTGGATGTTTCGTTCAAAAACATACACACCCACACCAGTTAAAAAAAAGTTGTCAAACTACATATATTTTCGCTTGGTAAAACACCTTTAGACAAAATTCTTTGACTTATATCAGTAGAAAATAAGAGCACCGTTTTTAAATATCATTTGTCTATTTTTTCCTCGTCTTCGTAACGACAAACTGGATAGAGTAGCTTACCGCCACCCTTCATATAGATGTTTATTAGCTACTCCACATATAGTACACGTAGATATTTTGGAGAGAAGTAGAGAGATAGCTGAACATATATTAGAACAATGTAGAGTAAACAATGGAGAGCAGGGTTGCCAGATCTTCTGAAAAAAGGGAAAGTTTGTGAAATTTGAACATTTTTCTGATTTTTTCTGATCCTCATACCTTCTTCTGTTTTTTTTCCGAATTTTTCACATTTTAAGATCGCGGCTTTGCTAGTGAAACTATGTGCAACTGTAAGTCATTAGAATAATAAGGATCCCGCACCCCTTCCACGGTTTTTCATATTTGTTCATTACCTCCAACTCGTTCCTCAAGTTATTTTCTCAATCCGCTCCCACCCATCTGGCTTCTTCTAAATCGACTCTCAATTGGTCGCTTTTCTAATTCTTTCCTAAATCATTACTAGGAAAGTAAACTATCTAAAATATGACACTTTGACATCATAAAAGTTATTAGTAATGATACTACTTGACAGATATGATCAGTATCCTGCAACGATTCGCTGTTTTTTCCCGAGGAAACCACTAAATCCTGAAAGAAGTGTGTAATCACGGAATTGTATGATCCTACCAGGATTTCAATAATTCAAAATTGGAAAAAAAAGATTTCTGATCACACGTTTTACGATTTGAGTAGATTTTCTCGAACATGTTATCGGATGTCTTTACAGGATTTTCTAAATAGAACATATTCCCCCCCCCCCCCCCCTTCAGAGGAAAAGACCACTCCCAAAAAAGTTCACAAGGCGTAATAGAAGCTCATGGAACTTGCAGACGCTTCTTTAGAAATCCAGTGAATTTTTTAGTAAAAAACCAAGGTTTTGTAGCTAAAATTACTTTTTTTCTAGTAAAAAAACTGGTTTTGCAGTACTCGACTGCTAAAAGTGTCTTTTGGGACGTCAGAAAATTTTTCCAAAAACCCTTGATTTTCTAGATAAATCCTAGCAAAAAATAGCCCACAATAGAAGGCCACCTTTACAGAAGCGATGTGAATTTTCATAATAGATGACCATGGTCTTTTATTCTGGCGGGGGGGGGGAGAAATGAATACATAAAGTATCGATGTCTAGGCCTTCAGTTTATATATCGATCAGCTTACCCAGCTGAAAGTGCCATATCATTCTATGTCACTTTAACATTCAATATCTTAATTCCTGACTCTGAAGTAAACACCGATTTGATTTTTCTGTGAATACAAATTATCGCAATAAAATTCTGAAAATGAAATGTCATGTTACATATTTATTTTAGTCGGCGACATTTAATATTTTTTTCATTTTGATTCAATTGAAAAGATTTATTTCAATTTTTTTTTCCATACATCATCGAAACTAGTTATTAGCAGTTTTGTCAAAAACTATCTATTTAACAAAAAACAAATTACGAGGGCTAAATTTAAATTTACACCCCTAAATTAGTGATTTTCGATTTACTTTTCTTGGATAACATTAAAAAAGAACTCACTACTATAGTCCGAATTTGAAATCGCCTCTTATATAAACGGTAAAGAGATTTAGAAATTTTTTTGTCAGAGTTTTAAGGTTTGTTCTATTTCTTTATGAAAAGAACTAAAGCAAGATCAAGATAAAAATGCCAATAGACTATTCAGTCCTTGGGAATTTCTCGTGCTCCGCATACAACATGATACGACCGTGAAAAATCCTTGCTTTTTTGTTGTTGAGATTTTGCCCAATACTGATTTTATAATTCTGTTTTTTACAGATTAATAAATGTTGATCGGATTCTGACTTGAACCTAGTTGAAAATATAAGGGAACGGTATCATTGATTCTCGCTAAGCTCCTGACAGGATTCTAAAATTCAAATTTTGAATAGTCTCTGAACACAAATCTGAAAAGATTTTAACTGGCTCCTTGTATTTTCTTATTAAGATCTTCATTGTACTTGTATTTTTTTAAAGCATTCGATATGCTTGTTCTTTAACAGTTCTACTCAGGATGCTGACTGAAGTTTAGCAGGATTTGTTAGTTGAGGATTCGGACGAATCTTGTTTTATTCCTGGTATTATCCTTCTCTGATATAACTATCATTCTTGGTAAGATCCTCACATCATGATCCAGAAGAGATCGTCCTCTCTATGATGGTTGTCAGGTTCCTAGATAGGAATGACAACGAATCTTAGCAGTATCCTAGAAACTCGATAGAGCATTTGTAAAAAATAAAGAAAAAGGCTTCCTTTACAAATACAGAAATAAATAGGGCAGATCATTGTGTTCGTATTAAGTAATCAACCATATGGTAACGTAACAGTAGTCTACCAGAAAATTTTCAAATACATCCATTTTGTGTTGGCTAAATCAGGCTAATCAACATGTGTAGGTTTCGTATTTTCGTTTCAAAAGTACTGTCATAATATGTTTTTTTAGAGAATGCTTTTTTATGCACATTCACTAGTCGCATCTTCTTTCTTATATTTACAAAAATTTTGATTGATTTTAGATATTAATAAAAAATATTTTGAAAAATTTATCCTAATATTCGTCTCCAGTTTAATAATCAAATTAGGGGTGTCGATTTCCAGGTATTTTGTATTAAATTTAAATTTTGCAGGCTTAAATTAATTTTAAATTTAACACTTTCAAAATGATCGAAATATTATATATTTATTCAAATCGAGCTTAAATCAGTGTAAATACAATCTAAAAATTAGTTTGAATTCAATTTAAATTAATTTAATTGGATTTCAATCACAAAAAAATGCATTTAAATCCAGTTACATGAATTCAAATTGAACTTTAACCACATTAAGTTAGATGTTTATTAATTTAAGCTCGATTATAATAATTTTATAATTTTTTTAAATATAAAAAAGTTAAATTTAAAATAAATAAAAGTCTTGAAAATTTAAATTTCTTAAAATTTATTTTTTGATTTATTAAATTTTTCGAAATGTAAATCGATCACTCTCAGTAGAAATTGCGTGCAGCAAAGTCAGAATACACCCAGATTTTGTTTAATATAAGTAGAAAATTTAACAGTATAGAAATACATAAGTATAGTACAATGGTATATTCACATCTTCGCAACTACAAGTTCATCTGGTCGAATCTACATCATGGTAATAAAAGAAAAACCAGTTGGGACGCATTCAATGAGAACGAAACTATACTGATGGAGGAACCAGTTACCTGAGAACGTATGTGAATATAGAAGAAACATGTTCAAAACCATGATAGACTTGAAGATAGACTGCTTTTTTTCTTCAAAAGAATAAAACGTTCTCGACCGTTCATTTTGCATCCTGTTTTTCCATTGGCTATGCGTAAAAATATACAAAACCCAAACAGACACATGCAACTTTAGAAACAAAAAGGATTAATACTAGGCCCATTCCCCTTATGACAAACAAACAAACAACAGCTATCAATCATCATAAGTCTTCACAGCCCAAAAGAAACTTCAATATCCACAATAAATCAAATGAAAAAGTTTCATATCTGTGCAAACCAGAAATAGAACCATCACACAGGCTTGGTGCAACTTTCTTTACCATGATACACACCACATATTGAGAAAAGGAATATTTCTCTGCTTGTTTTGAACGTATTCATCGGATTTTGAAAAAACTCCTTCGTCTCTTTTAAGTCTACTCATGAAGATAATGAAGATCTCTGTTTACCTGATGGGACCCTTGAGAAAGTTCGAAAACGGGTGTGGGTCCTTTTTCTATGATATTCACAACTGCACTGAAGAGATCGAAAAGAGTGTCATGACTGCTTGTCACACCCACGCTCACATCGCACATGCATACGCGCACTGTGATTATCATACAAAAGATGAGAAGAAACTAAGGATTTTGACCGTGATATTTTTAGTGAGTAAAAAAAATTCGAAAATTTCCACACATCTTGTGAAAGTTTGAGAGTTTAAGGAACGAGTCTAGCTTAGTGACAATTTCTGGTGCGGTTGTTACGTTGTTGTAGTTGTAGGAATAATCGTTGTTGTCGATACATTGTAGACTAGTGAAGAACAATAATAAATGGTAATAACAACGATTGTTAAGAAAATATTGACTTACCACATCGGAAAAGAAGGACCCGATGATTATTTTGCTCAACAATATATAAATTGCCAATCGTGTCGAGTCGCATACCTCTTGGAGCACTGAAAGTCATAGATACAATAGTATCTGCAGTTGTTGAACCAGGGGCAAATCTTTGTATTCTATTGTTTCCTGCATCCATGATATACCTATTATGTAAATATAGTAGAGAAAAATGTTTCTAACAATAATATCTCATATGCGAATTTACATAAAATAATTTGAATCGAAAGTTATTGCCGTAGGAGAATTTAAAAGAGATGAATTCGAACCAGAAGTACTGGTTATTCCAACAACAGTAATACCATAAGTATAACCTTGTATTAAATAAAAAATTAATTTCATTTTTATAGGAATGCAAGAAACATTCTATTTGAAGAAAACCTTTTATCCATTGTTGGATTCGATGATTGCCTCTATCAACAACATACAGAGTACCGTTCGAATCAACATGAATACCCCATGGACTGTTTAAATGAACTGATGAATTTCCAAGAACACCTATGCCAGCAGCCTAAAATGATACTAAATAAAATATATTGAAAGATAAAGTATTCATACCAATTGACCAGCAGTTGTATTATAAGGCAGCCATACAGTAACTCTATGATTACTATTTTCGGAAACATATATATTTCCTTGATCGTCAACGAAAATTGAATAAACAAAACCTAGCTTATCAAGTGTAGCACCGTTTCCTCTTCCACCAGCAACAGTAAAACCTAAGGGTTGATTTGGTAACCATTTCTGAACTCTGTAATTACTCGCATCAGCTATATACATTGCTCCATTCAAATCAACAAACACTGACGTTGGATTAGATAAATCTGAATATGATGAACCTCCAGCCAATGTATAGCCAGCGACTGTTGTACTTACAGCAAAAATGCCTATTTTATCAAATCAGAAAAAAACAATCGTTTTCAAAAGGTCTTCAACAAGAAAAATTTTATCCTGTTAACCTAATTGAAATTTTTGAATTCTATTATTTGCATAATCAGCAACATAAATATTAAATTTTCCGTCAACGAAAACATCAGTTGGACTACTTAAATGAATAGGTGATGTTCCAGAAGTTGACGAAACTCCCGCTATAATTGACGAACTTGTATTATAAACCCCTGTTTGACATGCTAAATTCGGTGGTAATGCTAAACAAACAAATATTTTCATATTTATATTTCGAGAAATGTCAACATACTTGGAGGTGCTAAAGTTGTGGTTGTTGTTGGAGCTAGCAATTTAATTTAAAATTTTAATATTCACGAATTTGTTTTCTAAAAATAAACTTACGACATGCAACATTAAATGATATAATCCGATGTGATGAAGTGTCAGCAACCAATAGATTATTTGAAAAATCCCAACGCATTGCATATGGATTTGTCATCGATCCCGATATAATTGTTACACCATATGTCATTCCTATTAACCATTTTTGGACTCGCGAATTTCCAAAATCTAACACATACATATAACCATATTGATCAAAAGTAATAGATGTTGGATTATTAAATTGATATGACAAGGCACCTAATACTGCACTTTGTCCAGCTACCGTATTACCAACTGCTGATCCTGTTTATTAAAAAAATAATCAATTATTAATAATAATATGAAAATTATTTACCAGAAATCCATTGTTGAACACGATGATTTAATCGATCAGCAACGTACAATATTTGATTTTGATCAACATAAATGCCCCATGGACCATTTAGCTTTTCCGGTGTACTACCAGCACCAGCTCCACCTGCCACCTTTTATTGACGAAAAAAAAGAAACAGATTTATTTATTAATATAAACGAAATAAGGAAAATTACCAATTGTCCAACATTATTATTTGATATTGTCCATTTAGTAACTCGATGATTTCCATATTCCGATACATAAATATATGTTTCATTAAGAACAAACATAGCATAACTAGCTCCTATCTTATCTAATGTTGTACCTGAACCACGACCATTAACAACTATATTACCAAGTTGATTTCCTAATTGCCATTGAAGAACACGATAATTTGATGTATCTAATATATACATATTATCATTTGAATCAACATAGATGGCAGATAGATTATTGAGTTGACCTAATGTGCTTCCAGGATTTGAAGTTATACCAGCGACTGTTCGTCCTACATTAGATCCTTGAAATAAATAAATATCTTAGGTTTATGTTCAATTATATTTATTTGAAAGAAATACCNCGACCATTAACTATTGTTGTACCAATAGAATCTCCAACTTGCCATTTCATCACGCGATAATTATAAGTATCCAATATATACATTGTTTGACTTGTGTCAACATATATAGCTGATGGATTATGTAATTCTGAACGTCCACTACCAGATGATGGATTAAAACCTGCTACTGTTGATCCTAAATTTGATCCTAAAAAGAATTTTTTAGTTTTTTTTCTACAAACTTCAGATATGAAATAAAACCTTGTTGAAATCTTTGAATTCTATGATTATTATAATCAACAACATACATATACCCATATGCATCAAAATTAACAACATATGGAGAAGATAATAATGTCGAACTTGACCCAGCAGTTGATGTTGAACCAGCAACCATTGTAAAAGATGAATTCCACATTGCTGTTGCACATAATGGAATTTGACTTTGAGCTATTTTATAATTTATAATTTATTCTTTGATTACATTTCAAATAAAACTTACGTGGTGGTAACGTTGTTGTTGTTGTTGGTGCAGCTAGAAAAACAAATTTAAAGTTATATTTTATTGCGATATCACTGAATTAGTTATTAAATAAAACAAGTGAAATTGTTAACTTACGACACATCACACTGTATGAAATAACACGATGATTAGATGTATCAGCTACAACAAGATTTCCAAGGCGATCAAATTTCAATCCAATTGGTAAATTCATTGATCCTGATAAAACAGTTGTACCATAACTTGCACCAGAATACCATTTTTGAACTCGATTGTTACTATAATCCAGTACATAAATATAACCATATGGATCCAATGTAACTGCCGTCGGATTATTAAATTGATATGACCACGGACCTGGATCACTTGTTGAACCAGCTACTGTTAAACCACCATTGACTCCTAGAAAATAATTAAGTTCAGCATTTAATATATTACTTATTTTAATCGTTACCTGCACCCCATTTTTGTATTCTATGATTTCCTCTATCAACAACATAAATTGATTGATTTGAATCAACATAGAGTCCCCATGGTGAATCTAGTTTTTCTGCTGTATTTCCAGCCCCATTTCCACCGGCAACCTTTTATTTCAAATAAATGAAAATGATAGAGAAAGGATGGGGGACGGTTTGTACACAAAGCGGCCCTAAATAAAAATTACGTCAAAAACGTTTTCGACTTGTATTTCATATTGCTCTAAGCAAGAGTATATTATTCCGAGCTCCTGCAGACCACTTTTCACAGTTCTCCCTCGACATCCGTAAATAGTAGATTTCCGCTCCGAATAGCATAATGCCACCATGCAACGACGACTTCTGTCGCATATACGAATACCATATTTTCAGGGTAGATAGAGTTTTTCGTGAGCTACAAGAATGATAAAAAAACATGAACGAAAATTTTCTGTGCTCGATATTTTCTACGGAGCACACCGTGAAAAATCTGTGATAGACTAATTTCTGGGCTAGTACGATCCATCGGATTTCAAGTACTTCTTATAGAGTCAGAGAGATTTCTTTCAGCGGAGATAGTCTCAGTAGTTGGGTGCTAAATAATACTGCAGCTCGATGGAAGCTATGTTGTATCTTAAGTCTTTGAAAGGTCTCAATAAGAACGTTGGCCAATCCTGAACGATGGTACAGTGCTCAGATTGTAAGGGACTTATGCAGGTAACAGTCTTTGCTGCCTATGGAGGTTGAAAATAGCCTATGATTGAAATGTCAAACAACGCATTTGACACTCTCATGTACAGCGTAATAGCGGTGGTGTGGGATTTCACATTTATGTTACGTTTTTTTTCATTCTTCCCCTGAAAGGATAACATAGAGATGAAAGTGGTTAACCTCTTGAATACCGCTGTCGTCAGAGTGAAGACCAGCAGAACGCAAAATAGTTTTTCTGCGTTCTGTCGCATGGATGCACATCTGTTGAACGACGAGAAAACTCATAGAAGACATTAGGTTCGTATATGAATACTGTATAACTGATAAAATGTAGCACATGCACACAGCTGATTAATGAGAAAAGAACGCAAGAGAGAGTGATTTTTCGATTTTTATCCATGTTCAGACAGAACGCAGGAAATTACCGGTATCCAAGAGGTTAAAGCAAGACGTGGTTTACTTTTTCGGTGAACTGTAGCTGAAGTCAAGATGACTGAGAAGCGGAGAAATACCAGGCGAGCAGAGCTGGGCATTTCCATGGAAACAATTCAATTTGGGACCCCTAAGACTGTCCACGTAATTTGTGAATTCCCTAGTAATTCACAAATTACGTGGACAGTTTTAGGGGTCCCAAATTGAATTGTTTCCATGGAAATGCCCAGCTCTGCAGGCGAGCATATTTGAAAAAGTGGGATATGAAGGAAGTACACGTATCTTCCTCTCATGTTCCTATTTGAGGAGAAAAGGACCGAGAACTATATTGCAGTCGATTGAAGAATGATGAAATCTCGATTAAAATCGTGCCTGTTAAGCGAGTGTTTAGTGAGTTAGGATTCATTTACAATGAGAAATGGTCGAAAAAGACAAGTCGCAATCAATCACCTACAAGTTTTACATGATAATCGATTAGAAATTGATTAAGAGCGTACAATCTCGATCGGTCTCAGTGTCCTGGATATTCGCATATTATTCTTCAAAAGGAGGGACACGAAAGGAAGATGCGTCTCATCTACTCCTATCGGTCTACTTCTGAAAATGATGTCGCTCCGGATTTCTTTAACTCTAAGAGATCTTTTATTTCAGTAAACTACACTAATCCCATGAAAAAAATTTGATGAATAAGCATATTAAAATCGATTAAAATCATACATCTTTAATACATTTTCAGTCCACAACGAATCGATTATAATCAAGAAAAAAGATAAAAAAGACTAATTTTCAACGATCATTCCTATTATTTCCGATTATAACCCATTGAAAATTGCGGAAAAGAGCATAAAGTTTGAGCGATTTGATTTCAGAAAAATTAGCGAAATCTTTAATTAATCTGTTGAGATTTTTATCGATTATAATCAACTTTTAACTGGATTTTTAATCGATTTCAATCGAAATTAATAGGCGCAATCGATGAAAGTTTGGTTTTTTCGATCACTTTTGATTACAGTCCATTCTTACTGGATTAAAAATCAATTAAAGGTGTATGATTTTAATCAATTTTTGATCAGTTCTTAGTCGACTTTAATCTGATTATTCATGCAAGGTTGTAACGTGAGATAACCCTGATCGAAAAATCGTGTTCGCAAATGGACCATACCGTTTTCCTTTCCCGAAGAAATGAGCGTAAAAACTGCCCGCTACATCAGAACAGCATCATAAACACTAATGCACGATGCACTCACTCGCTCCGGGTGCTTCCTTTTGTGTACCTCTTACAATTTATCTAGATCTCAAAAGTACCGAATACAACTAAAACAATCACTTATACGCAGTCTCCTAGAGATGCGATTATTCAAGTTTCATTAGACTCCGAAACTTAAAACCGTTAAACATCTTAAACAAAGTCGATTTTTCTGCATCAGTTAGTACCCTCCTTCAACTCATCAAATTCTGCTTCACCGCAGGAACCATAACTCCGCTTGTTTGATCGATACTACACATCATACTGACTTCACTACACACAGAATTCATTTTCCAACGGAACTTTCATAGTGTGGTCCGTAAAAAATATCAGGCACAGCAAATTTTGGTTCATCTTTTATGATCATTTTGTAGCTCTCGAAAAGCTCTATCTACCCTAAAAATATGGTATTCGTATATGCGACAGAAGTCGTCGTCGCATGGCGATATTATGCTATCCGGAGCGGAAATCTACTGTTTATGGATGTCGAGGGAGAACTGTGAAAAGTAGTCTGCAAGAGCTCGGAAGAGTATATTCTTGCTTAGAGCAATATGAAATACAAGTCGAAAACGTTTTTTGAAGTAATTTTTATTTAGGGCCGTTTTGTATACAAACTATCTCCCGTCCTTTTGAAGAAAATTTTATAGTTACCAAAACTCCAGTACCAGTATTTCCATTTAACCATTTAGTAACACGATGATTTGTTTGTTCAGATATATAAATATTATATTGTTCATCAGCAAAAATTCCATAACTTGCACCAATTTGAGTAAATGCACCACCATTACCATTTCCACCAGCAACAATATAACCTAATGTGTCACCAACTTGCCATCTTAAAACTCTATAATTTGATGTATCCAGTATAAACATTGTTCCATTGTGTGATACACTAATTGATGTTGGATAATACAATTGTGAACGTGAACTACCAGCTGAACCTGATGAACCAGCTACTGTTGTACCAGAAAATACTCCTAGAAAAACAAAAGCAAACTCTTATTTTATTAATAGAAACTTCATGTTAATTAACCATATGGATATCTTTGAATTCTGTGATTATAACAATCAACAATATACAGATTTCCATAAGCATCAAAATCTATATCATATGGATAATAAAGTAATGATGATGTTGATCCTGCTGATGATGTTGTTCCAGCTATTGTAGTAGATGTTTGATTCCAAATAGCTGTTGAACATAATGGAACAATTGCTTGAGCTATTTTATTAGAAAATAAGTAAAAACAAGTTTTTTTTTCTTTTTCTTTTATGAAAACAAAAATATAACCGACTTGCTGGTGCAGGTGTTGTTGTTGTTGTAGCCGCTTAAATGAACAAATATGAATGTTATTAAAGAGATAAAAAAATAAAATTTTTTAAAACAAATAAACACTTACGACACGTAAGACTAAATGAAATAACACGATGATAATATGTATCAGCTACGATTAGATTTCCAAATGGATCCATTGTCATACCATATGGATTATACATATTTGTTGCTGCAACAGTAACACCAAATGGTGCACCTGGAAACCATTTTTGAATTCTTTCATTGCTAAAGTCCATAATATAAATATAACCATATATGTCCAATGTAACTGATGTTGGACTACTGAGTTGATATGACCATGGACCTGGATCACTTGTTGAACCAGCTACTGTTGTACCAAAACTTCCTCCTAAACATAAACAATTTATTTAATTAATATTTCATCAATAAATTGGATTTTTCTACCATATGTCCAATACTGCACACGATGGTTGCTACAATCAGCAATATATAATCCACTACTATTATCAACATAAATTCCCCATGGTGAATTCAATTTTTCTGCTGCATTTCCCTGACCATTTCCACCAGCAATCTTAAATTTCAAAAGCAAAAAAAATCAAGCATAAAATTCATATGACAAAAGTAATAAATTACTAAAACTCCAGTAGTAGAATTTGTAGAGTGCCATTTGGTAATGCGATGATTAGCATTTTCAGAGACATAAACATTATCTTGATCATCGACAAATAATTTATAACTGACACCAATTTGTGTAAATGCACCACCATTACCATTTCCACCAGCAACAATATAACCCAATGTTTCACCAACTTGCCATCTTAAAACTCTATAATTTGATGTATCCAGTATAAACATTGTTCCATTTTTTGTTACAATCATTGATGTTGGATAATACAATTGTGAACGTGTACTACCAGATGAGCCTGACGAGCCAGCTACAGTTGTACCAGTAAGAGATCCTAAAGTAATTTAAAAAAAATTATTTTTTTTGTTCTAATTCAAATATAAATGAAACCTGGTTGAAATCTTTGAATTCTGTGATTTTGATGATCAACAACATAGAGATTTGCATAACCATCAAAATCAATATCAAACGGATAATATAATAATGTTGCTGTTGATCCAGCACTTGAAGTTGAACCAGCTATAATTGATATTGTTTGATTCCAAACAGATGTTGAACATAGTGGACTTGTTGTTAGCACTAAGAAGATTTTCATACAACTCTTTTTACTTTTTTCTTTTGATTAAAAAAATTTTTTTACTTGGCGGTGCTGTTGTTGTTGCTGTCGATGAAGCTAAATGTATCAAAAAAGTTTCTCAAACAATTTTCTTTTTTCTTGAAACAAGAGAGTCGAATCAATTTTGAATATATAAATGAAACATTCAAAATTAGGAAAGAAAACTTACGACACATAATACTAAAAGAAATAATTCTATGATAACTTGAATCAGCGACAACAAGATTTCCAAGACGATCAAATGTCATTCCAACTGGTAAATTCATTGATCCTGATGCAACAGTTATACCATAACTTGCGCCAGGATACCATTTTTGAACTCTTTCATTACTATAATCTAATACATACATATAATCATATGAATCCAATGTAATTGCTGTCGGATTATTAAATTGATATGACCATGGACCTGGATCACTTGTTGAACCAGCTACTGTTGAAGCAAGACTGGCACCTTTTAGACAATTATTTTATGGATTTTATTTTAGATTACTTGTTTTTGTTTACCTGCATCCCATTTTTGTACTCTATGATTTCCTCTATCAACAATCAAAATAGTTCCATTTCCATCAACATAAATTCCCCATGGTGAATCCAGCTTATCTGCTGTATTTCCCTGACCATTTCCACCAGCAACCTTATATTAAATAAATCAATATAAACAGTGAATTTTAAGAAAAAAAATTACTAATAATCCTGTAGATGTATTTCCATTAAACCATTTCGAAATACGATGATTTGTTTGTTCAGATATATAAATATTATTATTTTGGTCAACAAATAATGAATAACTTGCACCGATTTGAGAAAATGCTGCACCGTTACCATTCCCACCAGCAACAATATAGCCAATCGGTTCTCCTAATTGCCATTTTAAAATTCTATAATTATTTGTGTCTAAAATATACATTGCTTGACTTGGAGTAACAAAAATTGATGAGGCATAACGCAGTTGTGCACGAGAACTTCCAGGGGTACCTGATGAACCGGCTACTGTTGTACCAACATTCGATCCTAAATTAGTTAAATAGAATAATTTTTAATTCAATATTTCATATTAACCTGGAGGAAACATTTGAATTCTATGATTATAATAATCAGCAACATACATATTTCCATAACCATCAAAATCCACATCAAATGGATAATAAAGTAATGTTGATGTTGAGCCAATTGATGACATCGATCCAGCTAATGTTGAATATGTTTGATTCCATATAGCTGTTTGACATACTGGTGTTGCCGCTTGAGCTACTCATATAAAAATAAATACCATAGAATTCGATTTACCCTAACAAAAAAGAAAATGACTGACTTGGTGGTAGCGTTGTTGTTGTTGTTGGAGATGCTAAAATGAAAAATTTCATCATTTAATTAAATTTTCAGAATTACAACAGTATTTGCAACAAGAAAAAACTTACGACACATTATATTGAATGATATAGTACGATGATAGCCTGTATCTGATATAACAAGATTACCAACAGGATCAAATTGCATTGCCAATGGTGAAGCCATTGCTGTTGAGGCCACTGTTGTTCCATAGAGTGCACCTGGATACCATTTTTGAACTCTATCATTATTAGAATCCAATACATAAATATAACTGTACGGATCTAATGTAATAGATGTTGGAGTATTGAATTGATATGCCCATGGACCTGGATCACTTGTTGAACCGGCTACTGTTGTAGCAAGACTGGCACCTAGAATAGAAACTTTATTAGATACGAAATAAATCTAATTAGGTATTTCTATACCGAAATTCCATTTTTGCACTCTGTGATTTCCTTGATCAACAATATATATAGAATTACTAGTAACAAAGATTCCATAAGGACTAGATAATTTATCCGCTGTACTACCCGCACCATTTCCACCAGCAATCTATAAGTAAAATAAATTCAAAATGGAAAGAAATCTTGAAATTACCAAAGCTCCTGAAGTTGCATTATTCATAGACCATTGTGTTATTCTATTATTACTGCTTTCTGATACGTAAACACTATACTGGTCATCAACAAACATAGCATAACTCACACCAATTTGAGTATATGCTGCACCATTACCATTTCCACCAGCAACAATATAACCCATTGGTTCCCCTAATTGCCATTTGAAAACTCTATAATTTGATGTATCTAATATAAACATTGTCCCATTAGCAGTAACATGTAATCCATATGGATTGTAAAGTTGCCCTCGTGAACTTCCCCAAGCACTTGTTACACCAGCTACAGTTGTACCAATATTTGATCCTTAAAATCAATATTTTATGTAAACTTAATTATATAGAACAATTAATTTCTAAACCTGGTGGATATCGTTGAATTCTATGATTACTTATATCAGCAATATACATATATCCATATCTATCAAAACCAATGCTTGATGGATTATATAATGTTGTTGCTGTTGAACCATATGCTCCCAATGATCCAACCAATGTGGAATATGTTTGATTCCAAACAGCTGTAGAACAAACTGGGACAGTGGTTTGAACTATTTTATATCAAAATTAACCGAAAACATATTTCAAATATTAAAAAAACTTACATGTTGGTGCCATCGTTGTTGTTGTTGTACCAGCTTGAAATTAAAAGAAAAAAGAACCTTTTTATATCGTGTTAATAAAGCAAATTTTTAATAAAACTTTCGCTTAGTAATTTAATTAAAATATCTTCATTTTCTTAAAAAGATTTTAATTATGTTAAACTTACGACATGTCATAGGAAAAGATAAAATTCGATAATTATATGTATCAGCAACAATAAGGTTTCCTTGATTATCAGCGTGCAATCCATAGGCAGTATTCATTGGTACTGCTATCATTGTTATTCCATAAGTAGCACCTGGATNTCGGCCCGAATAACACTATGTTTTGTCCTTACAATAGTGGAGAAAACCTTCCCTGATTCATTTTTATACCTAAATTTCACATTTCATAACTCCTGCTAGAAGCAACTTGGGCACGAACTAACTTAGGGTATATCACTCCTAGCTATGCCCTATCTAACCATCATATCTCCGACTGAAAAGCTTTTTGACACCTCGGGTGGTTCCCTCGTCAGTCTTATTTTTGAGAGCCTCCCTTGCCATGCTAGCTATAATTTTGTAGGAGCAACTTGACCGTGCAACTTTTTCCCTTACGGATACTACTTTACCATGACAACTGAAGCATCTCAGGTGTTACCTACAGCATCTTAGAATAGTTGAATAGTTGAATAATCAAATACGTGAAGTGCAGTTCAATAACTGAATTCAAGTTTCAAGTTTGACACTAATGCCAGAACCATCGTAGTTGGCGATAAAAATTTTAAAAGATTAAGATGACCATACATACGACTACATGCGAAACTTATAGAGATGACTTATTCATGTTTATTTCATTAACCATGCCGTAGAAAAAATCATCGAATTGTACTGTGAAACGATCGCTGAGTGATTTTGTACCATATGTCCAGGTAAGATGTATATAAAGAAAACTTACAGTGGAATTTATTTTTTCGCTTTATTATACATATTCTGATTAGTTTTTGCGAGATGACCATAAGAATCACGCTTCCATTTCTCAAAAATCTTTTCTTCTGCGGAGAAAAATGCGCAATAAGGAGAAAATCTAAGAGGTCGAAATCGTGCTCATTTTCGGAAAAAGCTCTACAATTTTCTTGTGTAACGAACGTCATAGAGCTTTGAAACAAAATTTATTGGTTTCCTCATTGAAAACTTTGTTTAGGGAAGCGGCTCACAATTTCATAGACTTGAAAATTGTCATTGCTCAAAGTTTGAGAGCTTTATTTTGCAGACCTATTTATTTTTTTGCTTTAAGAGCTATCACATTGTATCGTACTTTACTAGACAAGCCAAATCGGCAGGCATAAACATATAACCGCTTTTTTCGAAACTTCTTCTGCTTGCGGAGAAATTTCAAATTCTTTCAAAATTTAGCCATTTTCCAAGAAATATCAGATAATTGCAAAGTGTCGCCTTCCAGATCTATAAAGTTTTCGTGAGGAGATTTTGTAGAAAGTGAGTTTCTGAAAATATTGGGTATATGTAGGTGAAGTAGCGTTGTAGAATGTGGAATGTGGGCGTATGGGCGTGTGACTCTCAGTCTTCTCATCATTGGCATTCACACCCATACCCTCAACCCTGTTTGTTCTTCTCTTGACGTTTAATTCTACTGGCAAAGAAACCAACTAGACGCATTGTCGCATCCATTCATTATTAAATGAAATGTTTATTGCTTTAGTTCGTTGTTGGGATTTGCAGAATAAATGTTCTAGTACTCAAACTAGCCCATCTTTAATTAGATCAAGTTATGCAGTCCAATCGATCAGCAGCATCGAGCGCAACTCGGTGACCTGCGTAGCAATCCCGCATTGCCTCAGTCTAGTCTCGCTCAAACAGCAGTGCATCAAGATTTCTCTCAAATAGTCCCAAACACAGATGTTAATATTTCTAGCGTAGGTTTTTACACTTCATCATCTTAGGTAAAAACACCGTGATGGTCTACCATTGTCTACAGATGCCACAGGTATTGATCATATACAATTAAATGTCAACATATTCACGTTATCACAGCCCTATGTTCTGTTTTGAATAATGTAGAGGATGAAACAGGTGTGTAAACGAAAACTAGGGTATCGCCTTTGAAAACCTCACAGTCGAGAAAAGTGAATGTCTTCTTCTTTCCTCAAGCTGGTAGAAAATCATCAGTCATGGCCGTTTAAACTTTAGAATTTTTGCTGAATTAAATATTTTAAAGCTCCAACATATCCAACTTTCTGAAGTGTTTTCTTCAAATTATTCAATTGTTTTCCATGCTCTCACAAATAACAATCGTCAGTGAAGTAAAAGTTTTTCTGGAATCGCGTGTGTTGTTTTTCATGGTATACATCAGCTTCATTTTGACCTATAATTACGAGATAGTAAAATAGTGTGTTGATTTCTATTTAGAAATGGCTGAAATTCATCCTACTTTTCGCATTTCATTCAAAACAGAGAGAGTATCCATTTTCTATGAAGGCTGAGCGAAGTGCCCTATTCACAGTTCTATCAATAACACAGCATAAACAAAGAATATCATTTTTTTTCCACTAATGCAAAATCAGTGAGATAGAAAACGTTATGCTGGGTTACACAGTGTCATTTAAAGTTTTCTATATTAGAGCTATGGCACAGAGCTTTGCTATCGCTACAAAAAGTCTTCTAAATTTTTTGAAGGCTGCAGAGTGGCAACGTGCAAATTGACAGAGAATTTTGTTGTTTGCTAGAAAATCGAGCATGCCGAAACTTCATCATATTGCTTTGTTGAAGATCTCATGTTGGCATTTTAATTTAATCGTTCTCATTTACTTGTGTAAAGATTTTTACGGCGCTTATTCTGCTAAAATTTGAGTAAAAGATTGAAACTAAATGAAGAAAATCGAAAATAACAAGTTTTTCATTTATTTTGAATCATCTGATATATGCAAAAAAGAAAGAATATCTTGGAAAACAATCTGAGCCCATAGTGAGAACAGATGAGTTTTTCCATAGACTGTGACAGATATATTCCTATAGGGAGCGAAAATAGTGCAATGTGTAATTGTTCGGAAATACATATTTTTTGAGGTTGGCATTTTGAGCTTCTTACGGAAGTTGAGATTTTGATGTCTGAAAGTCCCTGTGTGGCAAACATGACCCTCTGATGTGTCAATAATTTGATAACAGAGAGTAGATCGACGTTGATTTGATTGAGAGTGCAAGTTTGCGCGTAGGTATGTATAAAAAGATGAACCACTATTCCCGCACAAACCCACACCCAATACAGTGAGTGTCTTTTTCCATATGGCAGATACGACAAACATTGCTATTTGTGACTCTTAACGAATGGATTGTTCTGAGCTAGTTAGATGTGAGAGTTCAAACAACACGTGTCGTGAATGTGGCCATATCTGTGTTTATCATTATCGATGTCATAGTCTAACTGTTTCTTCTTTGGCGTCAATGATGGATCAACAAATTTGTGTAACCATAATAAGCAAGAGAGCAAATAATTAGTGATCTACAGACTCAAGCGAAACTCGACTCGTTCTTAAAAGTTTCACTTCACTACTCGCACATCCTCAAATTTGTAATTTCTGTTGGTATCAGAATGGTGAGAATGAGCCAAAGAGCTGTTGAAAGAAAAGTAGATAAATCATGACGGAAGCAAAGTAACTTTTTATCTACAGAGAAAATGCTTTGACTATTCTCATGAATCATATCCATTAATATGAAATGCAGAGTCTATTGCAATCATATCCAGCACGGCATGAAGAAATAAAGAATTTTTGAATGTACACTAGAGACCGAAAAAATTTGAAACATTGATCATTCGTTTCGATTCTGTACAATCTGTCAGATGTGTGAACTTTCATCAGTAGACATCAATTCTTTTCTGTTACGCTTCTTTCTATTGATAGTTATCGATGTATAGTCTACTGATTGTTGCGAATATTAGGTTCAATTAACAGTGATTGTGTTCATTCAACCATGCCTCGACCTACCTGCATTCACGTTCACATCCTCTTCAACGAAGGAAAGCTTTTGTTCAAACTTTATAAAATAAGCATGATCCTATAAAATAACCTTCCTGAAAGCGGAAACTGCCACAATGAATTCTGAGGAACAAATTATACATTCGGAATCCTCTACTTGAGAACATTTTGGCCACACATTGTACTTGATCCTCTGTTTCTCAAAATTCCCATTATCCTTCCAGTAACCGCGGTGATAAACTTTCAGAAGCCGATCACAGATATTCGATTCATCTTCTTCGAAAAACCAGTATTTTGTTGAAAAACCTTTCTGCAATAGAGAACCCTGAATGATTAATTCAGAGAACCCGGCCACCTGAATCATTTTGCGAGACTCCGAATTAGTTTGCTCAAACTTTAAAAAATGTTTACTACACCGAAACTGCCATCTCTTATCTAGAAATCAGACGTGGAATTGTCGAAATATCGACTGCGAATTCGGATTTCTGGTCCGGAATTCTTTCGTCAAAAGTTATACTGTATCATTATTTTTCTAAAGTACTCTTCGAGGTACCAGAAATCATAATAATAATAATAAGATGGCAAAATATGATTATTATTCGAGAGAGAAAATAGAATGTGGATGTGAGTGTTGCTTCATAGCTGAGTGTCAATGTCGATGTATGTGAATCTGGTTTTCGAGCGAAGCCACATCTGTACTCACACTCGCATGCCCACAATCCTTATTCTCACTTAAACTCATACTCCACATCTTCCAATGCAATTCGTAGTGAAAAATGAACCATGTTTTTCTCTTCTGTATTTTCTTTTCTCTAAACTTTATTTATTACTAATGCTCTCCATGTCATACAATGCAGTGGTGTGTACTACCGCATTGTATACCGACTTTTGAAGAAAGGAAAATAACAATAGTCATTAGCAAAAAGAACGAAAAGGACAAAATTAATTCGGCATAGGTTCCATGTTGATTTTTAAGTAAATTGGTAATAGAACAGTTCGGTGTAGGCTCAGTTTGATTATCGTGTTAGTGCATAGACAAGAATGTGAATGTTTTGAAGAAAAGTATTTGAACGGCTATATTTAATTCTTATTTTGTTGCTATTATGCCAATCGAAGGAGAACTATTGATTAAATCATCAAAAAATGTTCGGTTAGGATAATCGGGATCACACTGGTAGGGAACCCATTGAAATGTTTTAAAGCCCACTTCTTGAAACACTTGCTCATAGGTCGCCGGCGAATAATGATAATTCGGAAAGCTACACATCTCCGCATCTTCGCCATCGTAGAGCGTCACAATGATTTCCGTGCCATCTGGCAATGCATCACCATCTAGGGAAACTTTTGTTTTTCTTGTTATACCATATTTCCTATTATCGAACATGGCTTTGCCTGTCACTACATTGCCTATGATACCAATAAAGGTCTTATTTTCACCGAGTTGTGCGTAAATAACGCGTACCATTGCAAGTAATTCATCTCTTGTTTTAGCATAGTCAAATAGATAGAATGCAGTGACTAAGTCAAATTGTGTCTTTGGTGGAGGTAAATTTTTTACGTCGGCAACCATGTATTCAATATTTTCCGAGCCATGACACTTATGATTACGAGCGAGTTCAATCATTGTTGAACTTTCATCGATGCCGACAATATAAGCACAGCCAAGCGCTTTCAATTCACGTGTATAGTGGCCATGACCACAGGCCAGATCAAGCACACGTTTTCCTGTCAAGAAACCGTCTTTATCTAGAAGCTGTTTCAACATGCAATTGTGAATCGTGTAATGTTCGACAAGTTTGCGAACATTTTTCTCTCTGTATTCAGCGAATTTGGAAAGGATTTCATCGTATTCACCTTGATCGTTATTAATCATGTCTTGTAGTCTAGAACACAGATGAAAAGAAAAATTAAACAGCTTCTTTTAAGACGAATAATTGTGAAAACAAACAAGATATTTCCGGATCGTCAAAGTGTCTCACTACTGCAAACAAATACTCTCTATGGATGTACATGCAGAAACTTTGAGAAGTGGCCGGGGCGGAGAGAAGAAGTGTAGATTCACTTTGGTACGTCTGTAAGCCTGGTGTAAGTATTGCAAAAGTGATGAACATACATAAAACGAAATCATTCGAAGGTGAAAGGCATTTTGACATGAACGGAAAATTTTGAGCAATTTTAAAAAATGAGAATTATAGAGCCTGTGACATGCCGTATGAATATTGAATAATTTCTCTCTGTGTTATCTCTCTCAGGACAAATTGCTTGTCCAGAAGTGCAGTGAAACCGCTTTGTTTTCTGAGAATTTCGTATCTCTCATTACTCCGTCCGATCCTTCCCTCCACTTGCACTTCTGCAGAACATTTCTTTATACGCGTTTGACCAAACTCTAAAATATTCATCTAGTTGTACTTTACCTTTCTGTCATTTGTTAGAGCTGCAAGAAGATGAATTATGTGTCTTTATATACGCAAAAACTGCGCGAAGATAAGAAAAATGTTATTATAATATACAGATAGTAGTTTCATGAAGAACAGAAAAAGAGAGAAAAAAAGAGAAAATTTACTAGGACAAACTACTTTTATTCGTATGATAAACATTGTTTGCTTCGCGCTAGTCAATAATATCAACAGTACTTGTGGCAAATCAGTAGTACTCAAGATGAAATTATCGTCCTTTTGTGACCTAGGATATTTTATATTATTTTGAGTCCAGTTAATGTTTCTTTAGTCAAGACTGTTTGTTAGTGAGTGCGGTCGTATATCATAAGAACTATGGGCTCTTGTACCATGTCTCATATACGATGCCAGACATGAAGGCACTTGCTCAAATCCTATCTTAACTCGTTTTTCTCACGAACTGATCGAATTTCAATCGAAGATGGTTGATTTGAAGGGGAAGAGGAGATTTTCTTTCTCAAAAATTTATCTACTAAGCTATAAGAGGGCGGGTGTGGTTATGAGTGAAGAGTAGACCAACACGAGCAGTCACATTGACATCTAATTAATCGTACCCACGACATCAGATCACTAGATGCCCATCACTTGATTGCAGCTTCTGATGCACCATCAACGGGAACAAACGAACTTATTGTAAAAGAAATCGTTTCCTAGTAAACCAGCCAAAATAGGTTTTTGAAGTGATCCCAGAAATCCATCAGACGCTTCCGGGATCAATTAGGAAACCTATTTTGGTCTGTTTACTAGAAAACAATTTTTTTTAGAGTGCAGACACCGTACGGATTGACAACACTTTGCGACTCTATCATAAGTCTATCAGTTGCATAGTGGAAATACTTATCGACAACAGATTCTTCTGTCTGATCCGATCATCATTTTGTTGCTGTGAAATGTGAAATGCCTTGCGGACACTTCACCTGTCCTATTTTCAGAACGAAATGAACAGCATCCTCAAAAATGTCAGCGATCATTTCAATGAACTCTTCAATTGCGTCCTGTTGAGCAGAAACATTACCCAAGTTAGGTAAATCAATTTCACCGATAAATAGTTGAAGTATCAAGTTGTTATAATTAAAGACATAATACATAGTCTCGTTCTTCAATTGATCAGCCTTTTCTTGATTTTATTTGAGAAGATATGAAACACCATACGAATTACTCAGATGTCAATGAGCCAGCAAAAGCCTACATGGCAACATCGATAGGTTTCAAGGAAGCATACTAATCTGAGTCCTGAATCCAGTAAAACCTTCAACACCATATATCCCAGAAATGATATACTCTGAAAAAAGTAAGGTGCCATACGGAACCATTTTTGGTTTCGTATGATACCTCATTTTTTTGAGAGTACAGAGTTCCTTTTGACATACGTACATCGAATATAAGACATTCGGCTTCAGTCGATCCTGTACGCTATAAATCGACCATCTGATGAACCCTCTCTTAAAAATGTCTTCGATGCAAACCTGAGAAAAGCTTTGTCAATATATTTAATACCTTGTAAACTAAAGTAAAGGATACTAGTCGTTGGAAAATGGTTCTTAATGCTAGATCCTATTAAATGATACTCATAGGAGAGGTTACTCGTTAAAAAGTCTATTTGAAAAATTGAAAATAGCAGATATATATTTAATGTTTAACTTGTTGTTCGATTCAATCAACCTAGAAACAATAAAATTTTCTTGAATTTTGATATTTAGGTCGTCGTTCTTACTGAAATAAATGTAATACTTCAGTAATTGGAGTCTGTTTGCTGATCGACAATGATAACATCAGTTTTACGTATTCAGCATAAACATTTTTTTGGCCTATTCTTCTCTTCTAGTGACATATCATGATTTGTTATCTTTCAATTACGTCAAAGGAATGAGATAAAAGTTCTTTTAGATGCGGGTATATTAAATTGACTTTGAAGAAAAAAATCATAAAAGAGTTAGTAAAAAATCGAGCAAATTCTGTTCTATTTTATGTTAACGGCAGTCAGATAATCGAATGAAATGTTGAACCCGATCGGGTTCTTGTATGATATGTGAGAAAAAATAAGTTCTATTTTATTTCGTTTTAGCACTCAATAGATACAAATAGATAAATTATGAGATAGTTTGAATATACTAAACATTTCTAGCTATTTTTTCTTACGCTGTGCGCTTGTCATATAGAGTTTACTATTACTGGTTCCAAGCTGGGCTCTGGTGCAGATGAATGTCGAGCTTATACAATACTCATTTCACATTGTGCTGATCAATGCTCTAGGTAAAGTTGAAAATAATACGGTGAATATATATTTAACACCGTTGTGTTCTGAGGGTGGATATCATTTATAGAAATGCAACGATGATGATTATTCACTCATATAACGTAACCATAGGCACGGTTATCGATCCAAGTCGATTTTCTCAAAGGAAGGATTTCTTAAAAAAATAAAGAATTTTTCTGAAGGTTGACGAAAGGAATTTGAAACGGAGGAATCCAAATCTGAAATCCGTTTTTCTTCTAGAAAGCTTTTTCCAGGAAAAACTCGAATTTTTTACAAAAATCACTTTTTCCTTAAAAAAAAGCATTGTAAGTGGAGATTGGAGGTCAACATTTTGGAAAATTGATTTCAGATTCGGATTCTTCAGCTCTGATTTCCTTTCGTCAACCTTCAGAAAAATTCTTTATTTTTTTAAGAAACCCTTTCTTTCGTCAAAACTGACTTGGACCAGTAACCGTACCTACTGCTATCGTCAGCGTTGTATTCCTAGACAGGTCTTTTGACTATGAAAATAATATTAACTTGATTTCTACGCTTGTTAAAAATAAAATAAAAAACTAGCAACCGTCTTTTACTTCTAAAATTTACCCTTAAGACTCTATGCAAGTTGATATTCTTATCTCTTTTCTTTCCAGATTCTCTTTTGCTAAGAAATCTCTAATGAAGAAAGAATCTTGACAATCTTAATAATCGAGTCCGATTCTTTTTCATCAAAAAATAGGATAAATTCTTGGATAATCTTGCAAGATTCTCGTGTTACTTTTATATGTATAACGATCGGAGTTTACTATCGCTAGAATTTCGTCATTAGCTTTATTTTTACTTTGTAGTTTTCACAATGAAAACAAAACGAAAGAACAATGTAATAACAACTTGAATTTTACAATCAATTAGAAACTATGTACATCACAAAAACAAAAATAGGCTCACGTATGAAGATAACAAGTTTCATTTCAAAAACAAGAAAATGTTTTGACAAAAGAAAGACTATTGATTAAAAAATTGAAATGTTACTCACAGTTGTCATTCTTGTTCTTCATATCCATAATTGTGAACTGACATTTGTTGCATTATTGTTGGTTTTCTTTTCTTGAGTGTTGCATTTTTAATGTCGTTAATGAACTTGTTTTGTTCGCATCATGTTTCATTTGTTGTAACAAATTTTTTATGGAACATGCATTAGCAAATATAGAAGAGATGTTGAACATGTATGTGTGCAAGCAAACCTAGTAATTCAGTGGTTTTAATAATTAGAATATTAAAACAAATCTCTTCATTCAACTTACCTAGTAATATTTTAAATTCTCTTTGTGGTAAATCATTGAAGCACGTGTTTTCATCATAAGCAGCTCGTAACAATGCTTTTGCAGTTGTATTTATTGATGCACTAACTGACATGCAACTTAAATCAGTACCATTTAATGTCTAATTGTAAAAAAAAAGAAGCAAAACACATGAAATTATAATAAATAAACGGGCGAACTTTAATAAGAAAAGATTTGCTTTTAGTCTTAAGTTTGAAATGGAAATAAAACAAACGTTTAGATTTTTTGTAATATCTTTCAAAATAACGTCGTTAACTTATAGTAACTACATTTTTATTCACTATTCAGGTTATCGTTTTCTGTACAGTTTTTAATTGCTAAAAGAAAGTTGATTTGTTTCTTCATATAGTATTACCAATGGTTTTATTGTTTTCTCGTCAGCTAAAACTAAAACAATAAAATAATTAAATAGTACCTGCGCAGTCTTTTTTTAATGATTACTGTATTGTGTCGTTTGAGGAATCGATATCAAAGTTGTAGTTCTTGAGATAAATGAAGCTGTTGTATCAGACAAATTGCCTAGTATCAACAATAAAAGTACTTTCTACTGAGAATTGAATAAAAATAGAATTACTGACTTAATTGTGATACTCCTGTACATTATGGAACAGGATTAACATATTAATAAATAATTAGACCAGAAGTAGTTGATTGATGTCGTTCAGCAGGTGATCTTTAAAGATTCAATGGTGTTAACGATGAGGCTTTTGCTTGTCTCGTACCTTCCAATACTTGACTATTTTCACGATTTGTTGCCGAATCAGTAACTACAGCAAACGGTTCATTTAAAATATGATGTTCATCTAATCTCGAATCGCTACCAGAAAACGGTGGTAAATCATCTAAGAAGCAAAACAAAATATAACGGCTTCGAAAATTTCGGAACTATCTAGCCAAGGGTGTGGGTGAATGAACGTGGATATCCGTGTCAGTACAAACGTGAAGATCACTCAGACCCACACTGTAGCTGTAGGGCTTAATTTTTTACCCTTTGATTCGAAGAAAAATGACTTTATATCACCAGCAGCATCACTATCTTCATCAACACATGATGAATTCAGAATCGTATTTTCCTAAAAAGAATAAAAATCTTATGAGAGTCAAACACAAAGGTAATTTAGAATTACTTACGGTTCGTTCACTAGAATTGAAAATTACTTGTGAAGATGGTGAATAAGATTTATTTTTTCGGTTTACACGCTATCGTCGGTGTTTGATGTTACGCGAGGATGGCGCTAGAAAAAAAATGAACCATATAAATAATTGACAAGGATACTTTAAAGCGAAAACAATTGTATGCAAATCCGCAAGAGCACCATAAAAAAGAAATCGAACACAATCTTCTCCAGTTTCTTCACTCATTTGAATATCCAGAAAGAATTGTTTCGAAACAAAAAGCAAAGAAAAAAAATGAATGTTTCTCTATTATGTCGGGAAAAAGATGATTCGAGACGCAAGCACAGGCGTGCTATGTACAAAAATTTGTGCGTAACATAATTTACTATTCTAAGCTGCAATAGAAAAAGACCATATCGCAACGTCTGTATTAAATTAAAAATTCCAGTAGATGTCTCTCTATTAAAATGGTATTTCAAAATCTATTTTTGTAATTTATTTCATACTCTTTAATCTCGTTGATCATCAGAAATGCAGATATATTACTCTTGAGATTTTCCCAATGCAATTTTAGGAAATGTGACTTAGTTATGAAGAGCTAATCATGAAATTGTGCTAGATAGAATGAAAAAAGAGTCTTGACAGATTTGCCAGTAAAAGAAGCATCTGCAAAGAATTGAGACAAGAAAATCGACTTGTGTATATTCCTGAAGCCATCATAGTTTTTCATGAAGAAAACAGCATTATTACTGTATTTCAGGCCGTATCATTTTATTGCATGTTAACCCCGATGAACATAATTTAGGGCACATGTGACTAAAAAATTAGACATGTCTCTGTCGAAACTAATACGCTACTGAGGAAGTCCAGTTCCTAGCGAGTCCTAAATATATGCGGCACCTTAACTTAAAAAAACTCTTTGATAAAGTGGTTGAAGTTAAACTAGCATACTTTAAACTTTAACATTAAAAAGAGTCAAAGCTGAATTAATGATTTTTGTTCAGCTTTTGATACATCGTTCTTTCAGGCAGCCTACTACAATGAATGTTGCAAAATTCACAATTTGTTATACTGAATAAATGCTATACTGCAGTTGAACGATGATTCCTGACGGAAAGATCCCAAAATATTACGTCGCTCAGTTTGCAGTGCAAGAAAGGAAGTGTATAAAATTAAGAATCTCGAGTCCTGAAAAGTCTAGCTCAGATTTTATTCGCTTGAGAATCAGCATTGAAACCTGATTATTTTTCACAACGTTACTTTCTCTTTTATCGGAACTGAATCTTTTCGTATCTGAGATCCTCCTCAGATAATAAGAAAGATCTGAGGCGCTATCTAAGAGCCCTAAAAACCAATTTTGAACCTCAAAGTTCATTAATATTTAATTCAGATTCGTTGAAAACAGATTCCTTCGATATAGAACTTTTCCCCTTGTCAGAATTTATAAGAACACGTTAGATATTTAAATCTTTTTCTATATGCCAAATACTGCCAGAACTGCGTTATATTGTTACAAATAATGATTTTTTCAGTATTATCCTATTTGTTAATTCCAGTCTTCGATTTCGACGAGAATTGGCTGTATCCTCTAACTTTTGTAGCGTCTTTCCTACGGAATTCGCTGTACTTCTCACAGTATCCGGTCGGAACACATGAACAACTTCTAAATAATATTATGGGCAGAAAAGCCATCCCACTGGAAATGGTTTTCTTTCAACATAATCACAAAACAGGAAATCGACAGAAAACTACTTAAATCTCTTCGAAAAGTAAAGGAAATGCCATGAAACTACAGAACAACGTCAAGACCCCATCGGAAACATCCCGGAATCCAATGTGTCTGGAGGAAACTGATTGATGTCAACATTTCATTCTAACCATTCCTGAAGACTTACCGGCGAGCTTGATGTGGGACTTGCTCTATTCCCCAAAAGATCCACTCTGTTTCACGCAGCACTTCTTCAATATCCGTGGGAATCCGCGAGAAAACTTATTAACTTTTAGAAAGCATCATAGATAGCAAAGGAGCAATACCACAAGTAGGGATTTAATCATAGTACAACAATAGTATGTATCTACCAGAAATGGCAAGAATTTGTTCGAAAAACCTCGAGAAACTGCAGAAAACTCCTCGAAACGAAAACAACATTTTCTCTGAATCAACTGAGAACTAAATGCATCAAGCGTAGCAAAACGATATATAACGGATCAAAGCATGCATGACATTATGTTCCAACGACGATCAGAGTGTGGATGTGATTGGATATGGGTAACGATCTTCTGTTATTTCACAGTCGTATGACCCATACTCACCCGCACACTCAAGTTACTTTCGCACTCTCATATGTTGCTATCCATCCTCACACACATTAATACCTATACGACACTTCTACGCACACGCAAGATTTTCTGAACAGGGTACTTTTTTTGTTAAGGTTTTAGGCAATAATTCTTTAGTTTCGTCGAAGTTGAAACATGGTAGAAATTGAAATTAATTTAACTAGAAAAGGAATAAAAAGTTTTCAAATTCGAATAGATAAAATAAAAATGCGTCACCTGAATATTTTTATCTGAAAAGATGGATATTTTTTCAATGCATCTAAATAGTATAATAGTTTATCCATTGAAAGATAATATTTGAAATTTTGATAAGGAGTTTTAATAAAAAAAAAGCGAGAATTTTGTTTGAAACAACGAATATGAATTTAAATACTATAATTCTAATCTATTGTCAATATGAACATTCTTATGACGAATATAGTTATCAACATTAAATTAATTTCATAGAAATTATGGGGGAAAAAAGTAAAATTTGGGTAACCACGTCACTTTTTGATGATAAATCAGAAAGTGTTTTAAAAACGTCGCGTGAACTTTGCCTTGAATTTTTCAATGCCTTTTCGTAGAGCTGCAATCTTTTCTTTTTGTTTAATAAGTGAATGTGAAAAAAAAAGAGCGAAAATCAATAAAATGAACTAGGTAATGGAAGTGTGATAAGATGTTGTTTTGATCAATTTCTTTTTTGTGTGTTAATGGTTTCTGTCTCTTTTATGCTAAAAGGTTTTTTCTGTTGATAATTGAAATTTGTTTTGTTACTCTTCCATTAACGAAATTCACTTAAGAAAAAAACACGAGACGTTTAAAAACAAGCAGTAACTATTGCACTTTCATATATATTTCTCACTTTCATATACATTTCTCATTTTCATTTCGACAAACATTTAAATAACAACGATCAAACAACGGTGTCGAACAAACAGAATATTAGTTACTTCATATCAATTTATTTAATATATCAATTGATAATATTATTTATATTTTAGATTAATAAACACTTTTTAATATTACTTCTAATTTGTTTTTTAGCAATGAAAATGCAACTACAATACCAATTGTGTGTTGTCGCATTGCTGCTCTTGTAAGTTTGCCACAAAGGAGCTTCTTTTCAATATTGATTTCATTCTTTTTTAATTCAGAATTATTCCCGAATCAGTATACAGTACGTATTCGAATTTTTTATTACTTTTTTCCTGTTTAAAAAGATCGAAAACAATTAAAACGATTTAAATTATTATATTCATAATGGAGTTGGCAGTAGGCTACTTTTTTATAACATACAGACCAAGGCAGGCCGAAGAATGTTTCTGACCTTTTAAATCCATTGAATTCTGTAGGTCTATGACTTAAAGTTCTTTAAAAACTACAATTTTCTTTGTTAAACTGGATTGAAATTGAGAAATAGATCAATATGAAGGTGCAGCTGATCATTCAATGTATTCAATATGAGAATATAGATGTCGTTCGTTTTTTAATAAAATCATATATATGTTCACTAGAATATAAAAATGATTCTAGCAAAAAACTAGATGCCAGATCACATGGGTGTGGATGTGGATGGCTGTTGAGGTTCTCCACATGCACGCCGACACCCACACCCACATCCTCAATAAAACTGGATTAGACAGAGCTTGGGAAGATATTAAAAGTAAGGTTGTGTAAACCCTACAAAGTTACAGATAACATACTAAGGCAGGTTTTGAGAAGTGTTAGTTACATGCCAAGACATTGCCCCTTAAGGTTAAACATATTATGGTTAGACAGACCCAAAAAATTACAATTTACATAACTAGATAGTTCTCTAAAAATTATAAATGAAATACTCATATTGGTCGCAAAATGTTCCCTGTAACATATCCAAAACATTCCTAAATGTCACATGTTATATATTTAAATACACTCTTTAGCGTTACGGTTAACATACTAGCGTAGTTTTTAAAGACTTGCCATACTGGTTCAATCAAATTAATTCTCAATGGAGAATTTTTGCAGCAGTTTTATTTGTATCAAAATAATTGTGTAAAATTGTTCGTTCAGATAGACGATGCTGTTCATTTTAGTTTGAGCTATTGTGGCTTTAATGAGCACAGTATCTGAGCATCCAATATTCTTTTTCAAGTGTTTCAATAAGTTATAATTAGATTCAAGTGGTTTGCGGTCTTTCTTTTCTCACAAACGAATAATCTGTAAGAGGAAAACGTTGATGCTTTGAATGATGCATCAATTCCAATTCAAAAGAATAGAGCCTAGACAATGTCGTGTCCAGGCTGAAAATTCTTTCATAAATGTGATAGTCTGTTGTGAAATATTCATTTCTATAGACCAACGAGAGGTAAAGATCTAAAAATTTTATAAGACATATCAGAAACATGACAAAATCAAATGGGGAATAGTGGTCACTTTTACAATTAATAGCATTTAATTCCCTAGAAAAAAAATCGTTTGCGAAATTCAACATTTTTCCATTTCTCAAATGTAACTTATGTTGCAAACGATGTACACAACAATAATTCATTTCATCGTTTATTATAAGACACTTTCTTTGATAATACAAACAAATGATCTCTCGCACACTTCAGTTGTTTTCCAAGCACCATCGATCGCCAGAAAAACGATCTTCTATGTATTTCTGAATTTCGAACACAATTTTTTTTACTGTCGACATATTATTGTATATCTCAATAAGCTCACAAAGATTCATATTGATTATTTTCCAAGGTTATGACTTGATCAGTTCATGCTTTTTGTGTTGATCATGTGATGGTTTTCACAAATTAATTCATGAATATTTATCGTCTTCATTACCTTGCATATAAATTTTTATTTGTGGATCAATTAGAAACTGTACTATTTAGAACATGCACGAAAAAAGTTTTGAAATGTTTCTACAAAAGTAAAGGTCTTGTCGCTAATGCTATTAAGTACCTTTCTTCATTGCTAAAACACTCTGGGAAAGAAGTCTGATTCCTGTTGTCCTCAGTTGCTAAGGCCTGTAGAGAAGATGTGGGAAAGAAGAGGATGAGTGGCGCGCTGCAAAACTTCAACTTAAGACTTACATTCACGATTTTCTTCAAAAATATATCGAAGCTCACTCAATGTAAAAAGATTTTTATCCACAGACAGAATTCGTTAACGAAAATGGATACGAAGGTTTTCATATGTCTAACTTCGATAATACAGAAAAATGACTATCATAGTAAGAACCCACAGAAACCTTTATATACTTCATCAATAATCTCATTGTGATTTCAACTCTCATGAGAACAACGGCTCGGTATTGTGACTATAATAAATACAACAATAACGGTGAAACACTATTGACTTGTCCTAATTAGTAATCATTTCCAATCAAGTTTCCTTTTTCATTAAACATGAAGTATTGAAATCAAATGATGATCAAAGTGTTTTTTTATAAAATATTTTTCTTTTAATTAATTCGATCAGTTCAATAAATAGATGATAATAGATACTGAAACAAATATTACCTCTGTTCAATCGATGAAGCAGTGAGAAATTGTTCACTTGAGAAAAAATCATCATAATCCTTATTCAATATGATATTATTCATGCACATATCTGAACAATCGAATGAATTTCTAAACTATTTGAAATAAAGAAAATACAGTATTTTTCTAACACGTTGAAATACAAAGAAATTTGCATGTTGACTCTGTAATAAGAGACTTAAAATTGTAAAATATCGAAAGAAACTGTATAATTTCAAAATGATGATGAGTATAACCCTCCGAGTAGAAGGAGAACAAGAGAATGCTCTGGTGTTATTTTGGATGGCAACTTGATCATATTTAAGTTGGCGATCGGCAGTTATATTCAATAGAAATTATAGAATTTAGTGTAGTTGTATTTATTCATATACATTTTGATTGCAAAAGGAAAAACTCTTCTTAATGATATTTTCTAAGTATGATTTTGATGAACACTTAATTCATGTTGTTTATCTGATTTATTCGAAATTCGGATCATACAATTTCTATTGAAAATGATAATTGTTATAGTTCCATAAAATTCAATTAAAATTTTGTGTTATGTAATGCGAATATATTGTTTATAATTTTAGCCCAATCAACTGCAACATGTCAAACAGCCGTTTGGAACAGTACCTTTCGAATTTTAGCAGGTATATCAGGAGCGGCATACAGTACATCAACAACACTGTATAATCCATATCGTGCTGTGTTTGGTCCAACCAATATACTATATGTAGCGGATCAGGCTAACAATCGTGTTCAAAAATTTGTCGGTGGATCACCAACAGGAATAACCGTACCAGGTTTATCTTTAGCAGCTCCAAGTGATCTTTATGTTGACAGTAATAATGTTCTGTTTATATTGGATACTACTAATTACCGCGTACTGCGTTGGAATAATAGCGTTGTTACAACAGTAGCTGGTGGTCATGGTGCCGGTTCAGCAAATAATCAAATCACGACAAGTTATTCAATGTTTATTGATTCATCATCTAATATATATGTATCAGATTATGGAAATCATCGTGTTGTGTTATGGTCAGATGGAAATCCAAACACAAGTCTATCGATAGTAATTTGTTTTCATTGTGCTGTTTTTTAATCTTTTATTTCTTTGAGGTTGCGGGTGGATACGGAGGTGCAGGCGGATCTCACCAGCTTTATTATCCTCTTGGAATCTATGTTGACAATACTGGAATTTTATATGTTGCTGATTCTAACAATCACCGCATCCAACAATGGTACACTGGTTCGTTACATTTATTGGATATAATTAATAATATTTTATTTATATTGTTATTAAATAGGTGCAGCTATAGGTATCACCGTAGCCGGTCAGTCAGGTGTATCAGGTTCAGCGTCATATCTTTTAAATTATCCATCATCGGTTATCTATGACCAATATAATTACCTTTATATTCTTGATGATGGTAATGACAGAATTCAACGTTGGGTTCCCGGAGCAACCTATGGAATAACTGTTGCAGCAACAACAATGTCTAGTTCACGAGGATTAACTTTTGATCCCTATGGAAATATAGTTGTAGCCGATTCTGGCTATCATAGAATTATTTCATTTGCTATGTCATGTGGTAAGTGTTGGTTATATATTAAAAAAAATATATTATTCTCATAAACAAGTTTTTATAAACATTTCAATATTGAATTATTCATTGAGATGCATTTGAAAAGAAAAAGATAACTGCTATTAAGAATATCTTTCTTGATTAAATTATATTAATAATAACAATAAATTATATTGATTTCAGCACCAAATGCAACAACAACAACACTGCCAACACGTAACATCTTCTAAACTTTTTTTAATACTTGAATAAATGAATTCTTTCTTTATTTAAATAGCTCAAGTAACCATATCAATGTGTCAAACAGCTGCTTGGAATCAAAGTTTTACAGTTTTAGCTGGATCATCAGGAAATCGTGGAACATCACCCACTTTACTATACAATCCATATAGTTCATTTATTGATATTTATGGAAATCTTTATGTTGCTGATTTTTATAATCATAGAATTCAATATTTTCGAAGTGGCTCAACAACAGCAATAACAATTGCTGGTACAACATCAACCGGTGGTCCAACTTATTCTCAACTAAATAATCCGTCATCTATTTATGTTGATTCAAATAGAAAAATGTACATATTAGATGCAAGTAATTGTCGTGTACTTCAATGGACTCCTGGAGATTCACGTGGTTTTCCTATTGCTGGTGATCATGGTTGTGGATCAGCATTAACTCAAATAGATACTAGTTATTCTATGTTCATTGATAATCAATATAATATTTATATATCAGAATATGGAAATCATAGAGTTACATTATGGTCATCAACCAATACATCAGCTGGAACTTTAGTATTTTATTTATTCATTAGAAAAATGTTTATATTCATTTCATTGTTTATTTAAGATTGCTGGTGGATATGGTTCTGGAAGTACATCAGAAAAGCTTTATTACCCATGGGGAATCTATGTTGATTCAAATCAGGCAGTTTATATTGCTGATAGATCGAATCATAGAGTACAACTTTGGTATTCAGGTAAAGCCTAAATGGTTTGTGTGACTTAAATAAATGAATTATTTTTTTAGGAGCATTGTCAGGTATAACTGTAGCTGGTACAACAGGTAGTTCAGGTCCTTGGTCATATCAATTCAGTAATCCAACTGCTATTACTCTCGATCCATATGGTTATATATATATTCTGGATACTGGAAATTCGCGAGTCCAAAAATGGTTACCAGGAGCAGACTTTGGAACAACAGTTATATTAACATCAATGAGTACTCCATATGGGTTAATGTTTGATCTTCGTGGAAATATTGTTATTACTGATTCCTTCAACTATAGAATTATATCTTTTGCTATGATATGCCGTAAGCTGACTATAACTTTTAAAAACAAGTTAAATGAAACAATTCTTTATTTGAATTTTAGCTAATGCAACAACAACAACAGTATCACCACCAAGTTAGTTATTGAAATATACATTACAATAAATATTTGTTTCTTTTTAATAACTAGCTACACCACAGACTTCATTGTGTCCAACAGCTCAATGGAATCAAACATTAACTGTAGTAGCTGGGATAACATCAAGTGCAGGAACTACAGGAATTTTATTATATAGTCCATATAATATTTATTTTGATGGATATCAAAATTTATATGTTGCTGATACGACTAATCATAGAATTCAATATTATCCTCGCGGTATGTTTCATATTTTACTTATTATATATATATAGATACATATCTGTCAATATTAACTTTCGGTGTTTTCTTCTTTTCTAGGAACATCAATAGGTACCACTGTTGCTGGAAGTTCAGGTTCTGCTGGTAGTACCTATTCACAATTATATAATCCATATGCAATTTATGTTGACTCAAATCGAGCAATGTATATATTAGACACCAGTAATTATAGAGTTTTACGATGGCAATTTGGTGACTCACTTGGTTATGTTGTTGCCGGTGGAAATGGTAATGGTGGAGCATATACTCAGATCGGTGCAAGTTATGCCATGTTTGTTGATAGTCAATCGAATGTCTATGTATCTGAATCTGGTAATCACAGAGTAACCTTATGGCTATCAACAAATGCAACAGCAGGAATATTAGTACGTATTTGTTCTTTAATAATCCTAGTTTAATTAATTTATGATTCAATAAAAGGTTGCTGGTGGTAATGGTGCTGGAAGTACATCCGAAAGATTATACAATCCTTGGGGTATTTATGTTGATTCCAATCAAACGATGTACATTGTTGATAGAACTAATCATCGAGTACAACTATGGCTTAATGGTAAGATATATATGTCTATATGAATATTATTAATGAATAATTGAATAGGAGCAATAAGTGGTACTACTGTTGCTGGTGCAACTGGTAGTGCAGGTCCATGGGCTTATCAATTGAGTAGTCCAACATCATTGTTGCTAGATCAATATGGTTATGTGTATATACTGGATTTTGGAAACGATCGAATTCAAAAATGGCTTCCAGGTGCATCTTATGGCACAACAGTTGTATCAGCATCTTTCTCAAATCCCTATGGAATGCAATTTGATCTTCTTAACAATCTTGTTGTAGCCGATACTTCTAATCATCGCATTGTATCCTTCGGTGTTTTTTGTGGTATGTTGAAATATTGTATTATATTTTCTATTCATGAAATGAGTTTTCAAATTTTAGCTGCTACAACAACAACAACAAGACCTCCACCGAGTGAGTCATGCATCTCTTTTTCTTCAAATATTTAATATTTTGTTTCGATTGAAAAGCTACATCACCCACGCCAATATGTGCAACAGCTCAATGGAATCAAACATTTTCAATTTTGGCTGGAATAACAGGAAGTATAGGAACATCAACCACATTATTACGTAATCCATATGATGCTGTCTTGGATGGATATCAAAACTTATACGTTGCTGATACAACTAATCATAGAATTCAATATTTTCCTCGCGGTATATTTCATATTTTATTTGTCCTATAAATAGCCATATCAACTTTCTGTTTTTTCTTCTTCTTTTTTTAGGAACAACAACAGGTATAACTGTTGCTGGAAGTTCAGGTTCTGCTGGTAGTACCTATTCACAATTGTATAATCCATCTGCAATTTATGTTGATTCAAATCGAGCAATGTATATATTAGACACAACTAATTATAGAGTTTTACGGTGGCAATTTGGTGACCCATTTGGTTACGTTGTTGCTGGGGGAAATGGAGCTGGTGCAGCATTAACTCAAATAACAACAAGTTATGGCATGTTTGTTGATAGTCAATCGAATGTCTATGTATCTGAATCTGGTAATCACAGAGTAACCTTATGGCTATCAACAAATGCAACAGCAGGAATATTAGTACGTAATTATTCTTTAATAATTCTATTTTGATTAATTTATTATTCAATTGAAGGTTGCTGGTGGTAATGGTGCTGGAAGTACATCAGAACGATTAAATAGTCCTTGGGGTATTTATGTTGATGTTAATAGGTCAATATATATATCTGACTATTCAAATCATCGAGTTCAACTTTGGAAATCTGGTGAGTACGATATATGCAGCTATTTAATTTTAATAATTTAAAATATTTAAGGAGCAAGCAGTGGTGTTACTGTTGCTGGTACAACTGGTGATCCGGGTCCATATGCATATCAATTAAATAATCCAACAGGTGTAACAATAGATCCATATGGCTATATATATGTATTAGATTCTGCAAATGATCGAATTCAAAAATGGTATCCAGGTGCTACTTATGGAATAACAATGATAGCAGTACCAATGAATACTGCCTATGGATTGCACGCTGATAATCAAGGAAACCTTATTGTTGCTGATACATATAATTATCGAATTTTATCTTTTCCTATGACATGTCGTAAGTTTAACATAATTAAAATCTTTCTAAGAAAATGACGATATTTTAATTAAATTACTAAGCGAAAAAAACTGCTTTATTAACAAAATATAAAAAGGTTCTTTTTTGTTTTAATTTAAAGCTGGTACAACAACAACAACGACGGCACCACCATGTAAGCTTTTTTAATATTTGAAATGTGTTTTTGATAAATTCTGATATAAAATAGTTCAAACAACTGTCCCAGTTTGTTCTACAGCTGTTTGGAATCAAACATATTCTACACTAGTTGGATCATCAGGAGCATATGGTTCAACGCCAACATTATTATATAGTCCATCAAGTATTGCTTTTGATGGATATGGATATATGTATATTGCTGATATAAGTAATCATAGAATTCAACGATATTCACCAGGTTTAGAAATTCATTACTTTATATAACTTTGTATAAAATATTTATTTTAAGGCTCGAATGTTGGAGATACTGTAGCTGGTGTCACAAGTTCTTTGGGAAGTTCACGAGGACAACTTTATAATCCAAATGGATTGCATGTTACTCGTAATAGAACAATGTTTATATTGGATACAACAAATTATAGAGTTTTGAAGTGGCAATTAGGAGATCCATTTGGGTATATTGTCGCTGGTGGAAATGGTAATGGTGCAGCATATACTCAAATTGGTGTGAGTTATGTTATGTTTGTTGATGGCAACTACAATATTTATGTATCAGAATACAGTAATAATAGAATAACAAAATGGTCTATGAATAATGCAACTTCAGGAGTTATGGTAATTTTAAGATTTCTTTCCGCTTTGAATTTATTTAACTAATAGGTTGCTGGTGGAAATGGTGCTGGTAGTACAGCGGATAAATTATCCAGTCCTTATGGAATCTTTGTTACTAGTAATTCTATATATATTGTTGATCAAGGAAATCATAGAGTGCAAAATTGGGTTTTCGGTATAGAAATATCTAATTAAATTTATTTCGTATCCAATAAAATTTCTATTATAGGTGCAAGTCTTGCTACAACAATAGCCGGTTCAACAGGTGATCCAGGGCCATGGTCATATCAATTTAATACTCCAACATCAATTGCAATTGATCCCTACGGTTATATGTATATATTGGATTCTGCAAATGATCGAGTTCAAAAATGGTATCCAGGTGCACCCTATGGAATAACAGTTGCATCAACAACAATGGCTGCACCATTGGCAATGCAATTTGATCCTGTTGGTAATCTTGTTGTATCAGATACAGGCTATCATCGTGTTATATCATTCAATATAATGTGTCGTAAGTTTTTTCTTGTTATAAACATTCTTATAATTCTGAAAAGTTAATTAAATGATGAAATTTTTCATTTTAGCATCACCAACAACAACAACAACACAGCCACCAAGTCAGTCATTTTCTTTTTTGTTAGGGTAAATCGAATTCTATGGTATTTATTTTTATATGAATAGCTCAAGCGGCAACACCAGTATGTCAAACAGCTATATGGAATCAAACATATTCAACATTAGCTGGGTCAATGTCAACAGCTGGATCAACATCAACATTACTTTATAATCCATATGATGTGAATTTTGATGGCTATGGAAATATGTATGTTGTTGATTATCAAAATCATAGAATTCAAAAATTTCTTCCAGGTTAACATGAAATATTGAATTAAAAATTATTCTATTTAACTAATTTAGGATCGAATGCTGGTACAACAGTAGCGGGTTCTTCAGGTTCAGCTGGAAGTTCTCGTTCACAGTTGTATTATCCAACCATGATTTTTGTCGGACCAAATCAAGCAATGTATATTTTAGACACAAGTAATTATAGGATTATAAAATGGCAAGTTGGTGACACATTAGGTTATATTGTTGCTGGTGGAAATGGTAATGGTGGAGCATATACCCAAATTGGTACAAGTTATGGAATGTTTGTTGACCAAAATTATAATATTTATATATCTGAACAAACAAATCATCGTATTTCGAAATGGTTTAATGGAAATACATCTGCTGGAATATTAGTAATTTTTTTCTTAACAAATTCACTTTTTATATTGATTTATTTAATATAAGGTTGCTGGTGGAAATGGGGCTGGAAATACAGCAGATAAACTGAATTCACCATGGGGAATTTATGTTGATGGAAACGGAACTATGTTCATTGTTGATAGAGGAAATCATAGAGTACAAAAATGGAGTGCAGGTAAACAAAAAGACAGAAATTCAAAATAAAATGTATAAAATAATTGTCTAAAAGGTGCCAGTCTTGCTACAACTGTAGCTGGTTCAACAAGTGATGCAGGTCCATGGTCATATCAATTTAATAATCCAACAGCAATTACATTGGATCCATACGGTTATATGTATATAGTAGATTATAGTAATAATCGAGTTCAAAAATGGTATCCTGGTGCAAGTTACGGTACAACTGTTGCATCAGGATCAATGAATTTGCCATATGGAATGACATTTGATCGTCTTGGAAATCTTGTTGTCGCTGATTCAAGTTATCATAGAATTATTTCTTTTAGTATTATGTGTCGTAAGTTTTCTTTTCTAATTTCGAATGTTTCATTTTTATACTCAAAATTTATTTGACTCGCTTGTTTAAACATAAAAGAAAATTGTTTGAGAAATTTTTTTTTGATATATTTAGCTTCACCCACAACAACAACAACAGCACCACCAAGTAAACAATTTTTTAATGAAACATTAAACTATAAAACACTTCTATAAAAATCTTCTTAGTGCTAACAACGAGTCCACTATGTTCCACATCTGTTTGGAATCAAACAATATCAATTATGGCTGGTTCAACTTCAAATGCTGGATCAACAGCAACATCACTGTATAATCCATATGATATTGACTTTGACGGTTATGCAAATCTCTATGTTGTTGATTATCAAAATCATAGAATTCAAAGATTTCAACCAGGTTTCATTTATATTTGAATGAAAACAAAAAAAGAATTTTTTTAAAATTACTTTAGGATCTCTTACTGGTATAACAGTAGCTGGCTCATCAGGCTCAGCTGGTAGTACACGTTCACAATTATATTATCCAACATCAATGAGTGTAACAAAAAATGGAACAATGTTTATAATGGATACAACAAATTATAGAGTTTTAAGATGGCAAGTTGGTGACACATTGGGTTATGTTGTTGCTGGCGGAAACGGTAATGGTGGTGCATTTACTCAAATTGGTGTCAGTTATGAATTATTTGTGGATGATCAAAATAATGTTTACGTTTCTGACAATGCTAATCATCGCATTACCAAATGGTACTCTACGAATTCTACTACTGGAATTTTAGTAATTTATTACTTTGTCAGATGAGTCTTAAGCACAGTTTTTTTTTGTTTTTGAAATTTAAGATTGCTGGTGGAAATGGTCTGGGAAATACAGCAGAAAAATTGAATTCACCATGGGGTATTTATGTTGATAATAGTGGTGGATTATATATTGTTGATCGTGGCAATCATCGTGTGCAGTATTGGCCATATAGTAGAAAAATCCAATTTATTAATGAAATATTAATTAAATAAATTGTTTGTGTTTAGGAGGAAGTTTTGGTACAACAGTAGCTGGTTCAACAAGTGATCCAGGTCCATGGTCATATCAACTCAATAATCCAACATCAGTTACACTAGATATATATGGTTATATTTATATTATGGACTTTACCAATGAAAGAATTCAAAGATGGTTTCCAGGTGCAGCATTTGGTGTTACTGTTGCAGCAACAAATATGTATAATCCATATGGTATGACAATGGATCCATTTGGAAATCTAATAGTAGCTGATACATCTTATCATCGTGTTATTTCATTTAGTGTTACGTGTCGTAAGTTTTTATTTATTTTAAGAAACTTTATCTTTTGTTTCTTTTTAATAACATTCATATTTGTTAATTTAAGCGGCTACAACAACAACAACACCCGTACCTGCAAGTCGGTTATACTTTTATTGTCATAAAATAAAAATTAAAAAAGACTTTTCTTTAAATATTTTCTAATAAAATAGCTCAAGCAATAATTCCATTATGTCCAACAGCTATTTGGAATCAAACATTTTCTGCAATAGCTGGAACAGTGGGGTCGCCAGGGTCAACATCCATATTACTTAATACTCCATATGATCTAGATTTTGATGCTTATGGAAATATGTATATTGTTGATTATAATAATCATCGAATTCAACGATTTCCATATGGTGAATTAACATGAAGTTTCTAATAATGCAATAAGAGTTTGTTTCTGTTTTTCTAGGAGCATTTATTGGTACAACAGTAGCTGGATTTTCACTCGGAAGTGGAAGTTCACGTTCAGAATTGTATTATCCAACATCAATAAGTGTATCGCACAATGAAACAATGTTTATATTAGATAGAAGCAATTATAGAGTTTTAAGATGGCAAGTTGGTGACACATTAGGTTATATTGTTGCTGGTGGAAATGGTAATGGTGGAGCATTTACTCAAATCGGTACAAGTTATGGAATTTTTGCAGATGAACAATATAATATTTATATATCTGAACAAACAAATCATCGCGTTACTAAATGGTTAAATGGATATACTGCCACTGGAGTTTTGGTAATTATAAGATTTCTTTTCACTCTGAATTTATTTAGCTTATAGGTTGCCGGTGGAAATGGTGCTGGAAATACAGCAGAAAAACTAAATTCACCATGGGGACTTTATGTTGATTCAAATCAATCAATTTATGTTGTTGATAGAGGAAATCATAGAATACAAAAATGGGGTGCAGGTAACGATTAAAATAAGTAATATATTAAATGCTGAACTTAATTATTTTCTAGGAGTCAATGGTGGTTTAACAGTAGCTGGTTCAACAAGTGATCCAGGTCCGTGGTCATATCAATTTAATAGTCCGACGGCAGTTACATTGGATCCATATGGTTATATTTATGTACTGGATTATAATAACAATCGAGTTCAAAAATGGTATTCTGGTGCAAGTTATGGTACAACTGTTGTATCAGGATCAATGAGTCTTCCATATGGATTGAAAATTGATCGTCTTGGCAATTTAGTTGTGGCTGATTCATCGAATCATCGTGTTATTTCATACAGTGTGATGTGTCGTAAGTTAACAATTTCACTTGTTTTATTTAATAACTAATTCAGTGATGTCACAATAAAATATAACTTTAAATTTGTTTTTCTAGCTGCACCAACAACAACAACAACGTTACCACCACGTAAGTTTTATTTGAAATTTAATCAAAGAATAAATTATAAATTATTAAATAGCTCAAAGTCAAATTCCATTATGTGCAACAGCAATGTGGAATTCATCATTTACAATGGTTGCTGGTGCAACAGGAACGGCTGGATCACTATCGACATATTTCTCTTCTCCATATGGTGTTAATTTTGATGCATATGGATATATGTATGTTGTTGATTATAATAATCATAGAATTCAAAGATTTCGACAAGGTTTTATTTCATATTTGAAGTTTTCGAGAAAAATGATCTAAAAAAGTTTTTTAGGATCCAATATCGGATCAACAGTAGCAGGTTTTAATCCATCATCTGGTAGTGGACGTTCAGAATTATATAATCCATCAGCTATATATGTTGACACAAGTCAAACAATGTATATATTGGATACTTATAATTATCGCGTGATGAAATGGCAAGTTGGAGATTCTATTGGTACAACAATAGTTAATGGTCGAGGTGCTGGTTCAACATTTGATAAAATAGGAAGAAGTCATGGATTTTTTGTCGATAGTAATTATAATATTTATATATCCGAATATGGAAATAATCGTGTTNATTAGAAAAAAAATAATGGTTTTATTCGCAGTAAACAAACGGTTAAGTTTTTTTTTGATTATTATCGTATAGGTAAATAAAACGCTTCGTAAACGATATATTTCAACAGCGCACATATGCTTGACATTCCAAATGTCGACAAATACAGGAGGACGATTTCATTAAAAAAAGCTGTTAGCGCAATCCCTTGCAGGATTAAAAATGTGAAACACGATGTAGCTGCTATAGCCGATATTCTAAAAGCTATTGTTTTTATGCATACTGATGCATATTTCTCCATAATGGCTTATCTTTCATTATATAATTTCAACAGTATAATACTCCATATATACTTCAGTCAGAATTCAACTGATCATTGTCAACATGGTTGAGTGGTTATTTGGTCGTCACATAATCACTAGTTACTGAGTTCAAACCTCAGCATGCCCAGCCATGTAATGACCTTGGACAAGTCATTTATGCGTAATTGTCTCGGATATCTCTAATTCGTTAATATGTTAAGTGAATATTTAATATATATGAGAATCCTACCACGACCTCTCCTCCAAAGATCTCGTGCCGGTCGCCAGTCCGTGGTACAACAGTGGAGCGTTGGACAGAAAGGAGTGCAGATGCCACTGTTCGGAAAAAGGAAAAGATGATAGAAACTAACCATGAATGTAGATAGCAGAAAACCATACCGACTCGGACATCGCCCAGGTAAACAAGCCCCACGTCCTCTGTCGAGTAACCAGGGCAGAGTCGAAAAATTGGCTACTCGAAAACAAGCAATGACGAGTGGAGATAGAAAGAATACAGAGAAATTAAAGCTAGTCAATAACATACTGACAGTTGGAACGTGGAACGTTGAAACATTATGGGCAAGTGGGAAACTGGAGTTGCTAAGACATGAGATGAAGAGGTTCAGGTACGATATCATAGGTATTTCGAAAGTACGATGGACAGGCAAAGGTGAGACATCTAATGGAGACTTCATCTGGTCAGGAGAAGACAATACGCACATAAGAGGCGTAGGACTGCTGCTGAGTATGAAAGCAAGAAAGGCACTCATAGGATACAATCCAGTAAGCTCACGAATTATCACAGCTAGATTCGACGCAACATCGTTCAAAATCTCAGTAGTTTATGTATATGCACCAACATCGTCCTGCTCAGATGAGGACATTGAAGCGTTCTCCAATATTCTTGAGGGTACGCTAGCTAAAATACACAGAAAAGATCTACTCATCATAACAGGCGACTGAAATGCAAAAGTGGGTAGTGATAATGTAGACTGGAAAAGAGTAAGGAGAACATATGGGTACGGTGATAGAAACGCAAGAGGAGAACGTCTGTTAGAATTCGCAACTACAAACAACTTATACATGTGCAATACGAAATTTGAGCAGAAACCACAGTGAAAGTGGACTTGAGCGTCACCAGATGGTGTGCACAAAATAATGATCGACCTAATCCTCACCCAACAAAAATGAAAGTCGTCGATCATCAACTGTAGAACATTCCAAAGTGCAGACATCTGCTCAGACCACTCACTGGTCCTATGTAATATAAGGCTAAGGCTCAAAACGAGGTACAACAAGGCACATCCAAATATAAAAACAGATGTGACCCAACTGAAAGACGACATCATAAGAAAATGCCACAGCAACAAACTAGCCGGACACATAGTGAAAATCCAGACAGTTGACAATCTAATCGAGCATGCAAGAAAAATAGAAGGTGCTATCAAAATTAGAAAAAAAATAATGGTTTTATTCGCAGTAAACAAACGGTTAAGTTTTTTTTTGATTATTATCGTATAGGTAAATAAAACGCTTCGTAAACGATATATTTCAACAGCGCACATATGCTTGACATTCCAAATGTCGACAAATACAGGAGGACGATTTCATTAAAAAAAGCTGTTAGCGCAATCCCTTGCAGGATTAAAAATGTGAAACACGATGTAGCTNGGATGCGGCTGCAAAAAATAATTTTTAGAAATACATGGATTTTACTTTCATCTGAAATTTTTCTAAGTAGCGCATGGAAACGCTATGTTTCATCTGTTGAAATATAGTTAAGGTGTAGTAAAGAGAGATGCTATAAAGCAAAATAAAATGGATTCTGAACAAGATTCTGAAGAAGTACAACGGGAGTACGGTGGGAGTACAGTGGGAGTCCAATGGGAGTACGATGGGAGTACAATGGGAGTATGGCGGGAGTAAGCACTCTGAAAATTTCGCTTTTTCCCCCTTGACCCCTGTCCTTTACACCCACCACCTGTCCCTTCGTCCTACAGACCGTGACAGAGAGACTCTAGAAAACATCACAGATTCTTCCAGGTCATGATAGAGAAGTTTAAATAAATCCATCACAGACTGTGATCGACAGGGTTTAAGTCCACCACATACGGTAACAAACGAGCTGTACAGATCATCATAGACACTTATAGAAACGGGGAAGCTATGTAGACCGTGAGAACTACCCATAGCTATTAGTGTGTGCTGTGACCTATTTTATCACCGTATGATTGGAGAACACAACATGGTACGTGCTTGTCATGTAATCACTAGTTACTGAGTTCAAACCTTAGTATCACCAGTCATGTAATGAGCTTGGACAAGTCACTTATGCGTAACTGTCTCGAATCTCTCTAATCGTTAAGATACCGAATAAAAATTCAATATATATGAGAACCCGACCACGAATTCCTATCCTGGAATTTTGTTAAAGTTGCCAGTCCGAATCGAAAGGTGGAGCGTTGAAAAGAAAGGAGTGTAAATGCCACTGTTAGAAAAAAGAAAAAGACGATAGAAACCAATTATGTGCGAAGAAAGTAGAAAGACATACTGGCTCGGACGTCGCTCGGGAGAATAAGGTCCGCGCCCTCTGCCGAGTAACCAGGGCAGGGTCGAAAACTTGGCTAGTGGAAAACCAACAAGGATAAGCAGTGAGAAAACAAGCACCCAAAAGCTGAAACTAGTCAAAAACATACTGCCAGTTGGAATGTGGAATGTGCAGACATTATGGGTAACCGGAAAACTATAGTTGCTAAGGAATGAGATGAAGAGGTTTAGGTACGATATAATAAGTATTTCAGAAGTACGCTGGACAGGCAAATGCGAAACATCAAATGGAGACTTCATCTGGTCGGGAGAAGACAACACACACATAAGAGGCGTTTGACTGCTGCTAAGTATCAAAGCCAGAAAAGCACTCATAGGATACAATTCGATCAGTTCACGAACTATCACGGCTAGATTCAATGCAGCGTCATTTAAAATCACAGTAATACATGCATACGCACCAGCATTCGTCTCCTCAGACTAGGACGTAGAAGCGTTCTACAATATCCTCGAGGACGCATTAGCGAAAACCCACAAAAATATATAGTCATCATAACAGGCGACTGGACGCAAAGTTGGGTAGCGATAACACAGACCAGAAAGGGATAATAGAAAGATACAGATATGGCGGTAGGAAGGAAAGAGCAGAGGATCTCCTAGAATTCGCAACTATACACAATTGGTACATATATAACACGAGATTCTAGCAGAAACCACAGCGAAAGTGAATCTGGGCGTCACCAGATGGCGTGCGCAAAAACATAATTGACCTAATCCTCATCCAACAAGGATGGAAATTGTCGGTCATCAATTGTAGGACATTCCAAAGTGCTCGCATCTGCTCAGACTACTCATTGATCTATGCAATATAAGACTGTGACTCAAAAATATGTACAACAAGGTAAACGAAAATATAAGAACCAATGTGAGCAAACTAAAGATCGAAAAAATAAGGCACTGCTATGGTAACAAACTAGAAAAAAGCATAAAAAATCCATCTAGTAGACAGTCTAGAGGAATATGCGATAAAAATAGAAAGTACCATCAAAGAAGCAGCAGATGCAATAGTACCTGCGAGAAAAAAAAACTAAGAAACCATGGATATCCGAAGAACCATTAACACTAGCATATGAAAAACGAAAACTGAAACAGACTGAGAATGCTTCTGATCAGAAAGAATAACAATATAAAGATTTCTGCAAGCGAGTCAAAAAGCCAGGGAGGTAAGATAAAGAACACTGGAGACAGCAGCAGTGAAATAAGTTGAAAAGGGTCTAACGATTGGGAATACTGGGCAAGCATACAGTCTAACAAAGATACTACGGAGAAAATTCACGCCTCGAGTAAATGTAATACGAGGTCAAGACGGCAAAATACGGCAGTCTCAAGAAGAAGTTACACAAAGATGGACGAAATACTGTAGCAGTCTATACAAAGGTCACAGAAGAGGCGACAACATGGTGAGTGAACTCAAATACATTACATCTATGAACACCGAGAAGCCACAAGACATCCTATACTCCGAAATAGAAGAAGCAATACGCACACTGAAAAAGAACAAGAGTCCAGGATCAGACTAAATCATGGCAGAAATGATATAAGCGGGAGGAGAACAGATAGCACGACAAATCCACAAACTATGCAACAAAACATAGCACGAAGATACTATCCCGGAAGAATAGGGTATATCCATCCTAATACCGATACCGAAGAAAGGAGATCTAAGCGAATGCGCGAACTACCGAACGATCTGCTTCATCAACCACACAAGAAAAAATAGTGCTAATCCTATTACTCAACGAACTCAAGTAACAACTAGAGCCTCACCTCTAGGATGAACAAGGAGGATTCAGAAAAGATAGAAGTACAATATACCAAATCCTGACGTTCAGACCAAGCGCACAAAAGACGAAAAGACTGGAAAGAAAATCTAAAACTGGTTCGTAGACTTCCAGAAAGCATTCAACACAATCAAACATAAAGTCATATGGACAGTTTTAATATCATACGGTATATAAGAGAAGACGGTGACTCTACTACAAAAAATATGTCAAAAAATGCCCAGTCAGCCGTACGAATAGGAAAAAACCATAGAAAGTGGTTCCGTACAGATATCTGGACCCGACAAGGAGACTCCCTGTCACCATTACTATTCATTTCATATCTCGAAAGAGTGA